GGTGATGTTTCCATTCTCATCTCTGAGTTTATTAATTTGGGTGTGTTCTCTTCTTTTTCTGATAAGATTTGCTAAGGGTCTGTCAATTTTCTTAATTTTTTTGAAGAACCAACTCTTTGTTTTGTTGGTTCTTTCTATAGTGTTTTTAGATTCTAATTCATTTAATTCTGATTGAATTTTAATTATTTCTTTCTGTCTACTGGATTGGGGTTTATCTTGCTGCTCTTTTTCAAGGAGGTTCTGATGTCTCATTAAATTGTTGGTTTCAGATCTCTCCAATTTGTTGATGTAGGAGCTCAGAGCTAGAAACTTGCCTCTGAGTACTGCCTTTGCTGTGTCCCAGAGGAGCTGGTGATTTGTGTGCTTATTTTTGTTGAATATCATGAACATTTGAATTTCCTTTCTAATCTCTTCCATGACCCACTGGTGATTCAGCAGTGTGCTACCAGCACAACTATGTTTATTGCAGCATTATTTACAATAGGTAAGATATGGAACCAACCCAGATGCCCCTCAGTAGATGAATGGATCAAGAAAATGTGGTATATATACACAACGGAATTTTATGCCTCCATCAGAAAGAATAACATTGCCCCATTTGTTAGGAAATGGAAAGGCTTGGAAAAAATTATATTAAGTGAAGTAAGCCAAGCCCAAAGAAACATAGGTCCCATGGTTTCCCTTATTTGCAATATCTAGTATATGTCTGAGTCAAGCAGAAAAGGTCAGATAAGGTGATGTTAGGGAAATGAACCCTAAGATATGCATTCAAATGTTTTTTTTTCTTTCATGCGATTGTTTCTAACACATTTATAAGATTATTTCTTTGCTGCTTTGTATGTCCCTCCCCCACAGTATAACCCCTGCTTTCACTGTATTTGATGTCGGTATAATTTGTGGAGGGGAAGGGGAAAAGCAAGTTGTTTAAATAAGGATACAAGTGGACCCGTTGCAACAATGAGAAGTACAAGTTGTTCTGTCAAAAAGGAACTTCACAACTTTGGTGGGGGCCGTGGAGGAATGGGAGGGCTGGGGGAAGATGGGAAGGGATGGGAAGGGGAAACAAAGGAGATGGCTACAATGCTTGATAAGAAATGAACTCATTATCTTGCCCATGTAATTGTAACCCCTCTGTACAGTATTTTCACAATAAAATATAAATAAAAATAAAAAAAAGAATACCTCAAAATATATGACCTCAAAGGGAAAGGCCTCTACAATGGCTGGTTTGGTCACTTTCCCTTGATTGGTGAAGGTTGGACGAGATGGTGGACTTCCCACACCTCTGAGCCTAGAAGCACACTCCTATAAAGTGATAGAAAAGCAGATGGCCATAAAAGACACCAGGTCAATTGCAGATAAATGGGGAGACTTAGAAAAACTCACTGAAGTGGCCAGATGCCAGTGGCTCACACTGGAAAACCTGTCTGCTCAGGAGCATGAGACTTGAGGGTCAAGCCAGAAATGGAGATAAGGCCTACTTGTAGAGCACCAGCTTGAAAGGAAAGACACTAACAGACAGAGCCTAGAGCGCAAGTTCATTCCCCAGACCAGCACAGAAAGAAATTATGTCAAGTGAAGTAAGTCAGGCTAAGAGAGACAAAGAGTTCTTGTTTTCCCTCATAGGCAGACATAAGAGGTGAAGCATATATGTACATACACACACATATATATATATATATATATATATATTTAGGTGTGTGATCATAAAGATAGATACACAAACATGTTAAGCAAAGTAAGATCTTGTGAGGAGAGGGTCCAGTGGCAGAATTCCTTTGAAGAACTAACAGTTTAACAAAATGAGCACCAGGAAGGTGGAGTATGTGTGTGTGTGGGGGAATGAGGTGAAGGATGGTGGGTAGCAGAACGCAGAGACCCTGGGTGGACATGGTCAGTCAGGATATTCCACACTCCTGTTTGATGAGGACATGAGGCATTCTGAGGGAACTGAGTGGGTTGAGAGGGGGAAGAAGGATGGAATGGATGACAGGTGTCAGGATGTATTGTTCTCACAAACTCACAGGTTAGTAACGACCATTTCTACAAGTTTGTAAGGATACTGAAAACCCAAAAAATAAATACATAAGTAAATAATAAAAGTCATAAATAAAAAATGAGAAATACATTACGATGATAATGATAGTGATGATGATGAAGATGGCGATCATGCCTGGGTTGTACAGAGGGTAAAATTCTATACCTCAGATTATGACCACAAGACATCTTGAACAATGCCATCTCTTCTATGCTTCTGACCCATCTTTTCTCTCCCATACCATCGCTCCAGTTATAGGATTCATTTTTATCTAATGGACAATCAATATAACATCTGCATCTGGTCACACTTCAGCCAATTGCCTTTCTCCCACAAGCAGGTTGTGATTGCCTGCATTCGGCAGTGTCAGCAGACCATTAGGTGCTCAGAGGAGTTAGGCCTGTGGATTACCCCCTAAACATGCCACCCTTCAGTCTCTCTATCTGTGTGTTTTGCATGAGGTCCTGAACATCTAATGGTGTTTGGGTGTGGAGGTGTTGGGGGAGAGGAGGAGTGCCATTCTAGAGCCTTTCCTTCAGGGCCAGGGGACTGACCCTGAACTTTGGTGCTCGGGGCTGGACCTCTAACACCTTCATCCACAGTACAATTTCTAGCTCCTAAACTACTAGTTATTTGGAGACAAGAGTCTCCTGGTTTTTCCTACCCAGGCTGGCTATAAAGCATGATCCTGAGGTCTCAGCCTCCTGAGTGGCTAGGATGATAGACATGAGTCACCTGTATCCAATTTCTGCACTTGGGTTTTACATGTAGCTTCTATGATGAGAGCAAAAACAACCCTTCATTGTACACATGTCCAGGTCTTACCTAACATAAGTCAGGCTGAGCTGTAGTTAATGACACCCCCTTCCTCACGATGCTCCTGCTTTTCTTTCCCTTCAGCTTACCTTGGGATCTTTTGATCTGCTCCTCAGTGACCATGGCCGGTTTCCTTCGGTCTATCAGATGGCCCCCAAGGACACATCCCTGGCCCTGGGCATGGTCTCCCTGATGCTTCACTTCCGCTGGACCTGGGTGGGGCTGGTCATCTCAGCAGATGAGAATGGATTGTGGATGCTCCCAGCGCTGAGAGAAGAGATGGAAAGAAATGGAATCTGCAGTGGTTTTGAAATGGTGTTGGCAGTCAACTCCATGAGATCGATGTCCAAGTCTTTACTACTCTTGTATGAAATTACAAAATCATCGACAAATGTAATTGTTTTCTATGGTAACAGTGGTTTCCTGGAAACTGCAGTGAATGCAGAAACTTTGGACAACTCTTTCCTGGCAGGAAAAGTTTGGCTCATGAACTCACTCAGCCTGGCAATCCTCAGAGGGAGACATCACATGGCTGCACACTTCCACTCCCGCCTCCTTTTTATACATCACTACGGAGATGTTCCTGAATTCACAACTTTTATCCAGAAAATTTACCCTTCCAAGTATCCAGAAGACTATCTCCTCGCTAGGCTGTGGGTCATGGCTTTTAATTGCTCCTTGTCCAAGTCTGACTGTGTGACTTGGCAGAACTGTCCACACAATGCCTCCTTTGAATGGCTGTCTGCACACTTTTTGGACGTGACCATGTCAGAAAAGAGTCACCATGTCTACAACGCCGTGCATGCTGTGGCCCAGGCTCTCCAAGAGCTGTTCCTTCATCACACAGAAGGTCAGCCCAAGGGACGGGAGGAAAAATTGATATTTTCCCCTTCACAGGTAATAAAGATTCCATTGGCAAGCACACACCATCAACTGAGAAATCCTAAAGCTGAACTGTTTAGCCAAACACTCGTGGTTCATACCTGTATCTGAGATACTCAGAGGTTGATTTAAGAGGATTCAGTTTCCAAATCAGCCTGAGCAGAAGAACAGCAGTAATACTCTTATCTCCAAATGA